AATTTAATCAATCCAGATTTGTTTTTATCTTTTCTTTGATTTTTTGATGAATGTAAAAAATAAACACACTGAGAAATTCAAGTAATTCCACCTCAACTTCACTGAAACATTAGATCAAGTTCTGATGTAATTTTCGCTTCAATAGGTTTCTTTTTAAAGACTCCCATGCTCCTGGTCAGGAGTTCTTATGTTAGAATTATTGCTGATCAAATATGAATAAATATAAAGAAAAAAAGAAAGAAAGAAAAAAATAAATATAAAGAAAAAAAATGATGAGTAGAACGTTTCTGGTTGACCTCAGTTGCTTACAATGTTTGTCCTGTGCAGGAAAATATACTAAAAATATATTTTATCTTTTAAATATATATCTTAGCTAGTTTTTTGACATAAATAGGGAATAATTCAAGATATAAGGCCAAGTTTAAATACTATCATGTGTTTTAATTATGAATGAAGTATTGGACTATAAATATTGCACAACTTCATTACCACTTGATGTTGCCAACACTTAAGAATTTTTGTGTTTAATGGTTTAAATTTTTAATCTTACTGCAGTCAGGCGTGCAACAAAACTGTTTTAAAATTATCAATGATCTTCATCTATCTTTACTAAAAAAATAAATAAAAAAATGTTTGATACTATTTGATGTTCAAACTATTATGTCTATCAACTAATTACAGACATCTTACAGTCAGTTCGGAGAATAGTTTTCAACACTTAACACATTTTAAATACAATGTATATATATTACACACTGCAAAAGAATCATATTTTGAAGTCTTGAAAATATGAAAAAATTGCCATAAATGATCAAAAATATCAAAACGACGACCTGATTTACTAACTAAGAATGGGTTATTGTGTGTATGCACATCAGATGTCAGGAGTGCAACACAATAATGTAAAATTGGATCATTTTAAAATCTAGTATTTTTGTAAGAAAACTTGAATATCAATATTCTTTTTGGCTTAGATTTAAAGAATTGACTTAAATAGACGAAAATGTGATCTTAGGGGAATTTTATTGTATCATATTTCTTTCATATTAAAACTTTTCAAATCTGAATTGAAAAAATAATGTAAAATAACAATCAAAAAGCCAATTTTTTCGCACATCAAACCAGAATTGAGAAAATAATGTAAAATAACAATCAAAAAGCCAATTTCCCCCCCACATATACAGGAGAAGAAACTCAATTAAGGTTAAGATCAAATCATTTATATCCCTGATACCATTTTGAAGTTATAATTTCTTTTGATTATGTATTTTAGAGAGTCATTTAGGATGAAGTAAATATTTTCTTTCTTTTAAATAAAATTTTACCAATAAAAATTCTGAAACTTTTTCATCCAATTGTCTATTCCATTGCAACTTCAGGAATTTTAACTAGAATACATGTACAATATGATGATATAAATGAAAAATATGTTATGGGTAGTTAATATTTAAAAAAATAATTTGGTGGTCATTATTTTTGAATTCACCCATATGTACCACTTTCGAAAGGAAAGCAGAGACTAAGCACGATACCTACAACTATAGTGCTGCTGGATACATTATTACTGGTGACGTAAATATTGCTAATAATGAGGACCTTAAATTACTTATTTTAAAAGAGACAAAATTTAGAGAACCCCGATCTTTCAACTGGAATCATAATTTCATAAATATTATGAATTCTGTGAAAGATTACGCCAAGCGTTGGATCAGACATGAAAAAGAAGACCTTGACACTTTGTCAGAATCGATTAAATGTATCAGATGTATGTTAAAATCTCGCATTAAGCGATTGAGGGGCAATATGAAAACCATCTATCCTTTTGTGTTCAATAATTCAGAAGAGAAAAAAGAATTAGATGAAATCTATAGAGATATACACCTTCAGTATCTACTGGTCCCAACTGACAAAGCAGGTAACAACATTGTCTTTGTTTTTAAGGCTCATTATTTTAGTTCTATTTTAGAAAAAAAACTTGGATTTAATTCTTCACGTGGAAATCCAACTTATACCATAGCTCCCTTTCTAAGGAAGAAATTCTTCAAAATCACATGTCATTTTTGAATATTTTTAATATTCCCAACAACCAAAATTTATTTGAATTACCATATTTATATTGGATTCCGAAACTTCATACAAAGATACATAGCAGGTTCCAGTAAATGTTCTACCAAGAAACTTCAGGAGAACTGTGCAACAATGTATTCGAGAAGTGGTGTAAATCAGATGTGGATACTTAAAAATTCATAGGAACTTTTGGAAAATTTGAAATCACAAAATTTTACTATCATCAATAACATAAAAACGTACGACTTTTCAACTCCGTATACATCCGTTCCCTAAGATGAATTAAAGTCCAGGCTTTTTGACATCATTGACAGCTGCTTTGTCAATAAAAATGGAACTCGTAAATTCATTTACCTTGTCATTGGCCATTTGCAAAATTATTTTGTTAAAAAACATTCTGATTGTACACACAAGTACTCTGAAGATGGTATTAAAAAGATGCTTGAGTTTCTGATTGACAATATCTATGTGGTTTTTGGAGACCAGGTCTTCCAACAATCTATTGGAATTCCCATGGATACCAATTGCGCCCCGTTGTTAGCAGACCTATTTTTTTGTATTCATATAAAGCAGAATTTATTCATAATATTATACACGAGAAAAAGAAATCTCTTGCTGTGGCCTTCAACTCGACATTAAGATATATCGACGACGTATTATCAATTAACAATAGTTATTTCCATTCATATGTCGACACGTTATATCCCAATGAGCTGGAAATAAGAGATACCACAGAATCTGACACATCTGCTTCATATTTGGATATTTTACTAGAAAAAGACGTTGATGGTAATCTTACAACAAAGCTTTATGATAAATTTGATGATTTTCACTTTTCAATCGTCAACTTCCCTTACTTATGTAGCAATATACCCGTATCACCTGCATATGGGGTGTATATCTCTCAGTTGATTCGATACGCAAGAGCATGCTCTACGTATGTACAATTTCTACAACGAGGTAAGTTACTGACAAACAAGTTGATGAAACAAGAATATCAACAGTCTCGATTAAAGTCATCATTTCGTAAGTTCTATGGTCGATACAATGACCTTGTTAGCAAATGAATCTATCATTCAGTCATGTGCTGACCGACGTTTTTCATACTAATTGCTAGTCCATTATTTACACACTGAATTGTCGACGGATTTTCCGTTATTTACCGATCATGAGAAGGAGCGCACGGCGGATGTGACCGGTCAGCAGGGGATGCTCTCTCCTCCATGGTACCTGATCCCACCACTGATGTTTTTGGAGGTCCGTGTTTGCTCTGCTCCCGAGTTGTATTATTTTAATGGTTTTTGAGCTTGAATACGGTTCGTTATCTCCATATTTCATTTGAAGCATCATATGCTTGCATTGTATCGAATATACAATTTGCGAAATACTGACTTTAAACGAGACTGTTGATATCCTTGTTTCATCAATTTGTTTGTCAATAGCTTGCCTCGTTTTAGAAATTCTTCGTATCTAATGCATGTTATTGCGTATCGAATCAACTGGGAGACATACACTCCATAAGCAGGTGATAATGGTATATAACTATAAAAATAAGGGAAGTTGACGATAGAAAAGTTGAAGTCACCACGTTTGTCATAAAGTTTTATTGTTAGGTTACCACTAGCGTCTTTTTCTGGTAAGATATCCAAATATGAAACAAATGTTTTTATTTCGAGTTCAAAGGGATATATCGAATCAATGCTGGAATGAAATTGAATATTGTTAATTGATAAAACGTCGTTTGATATACTAGCATTTAAATGTTAAATTGAAAGCCACAGCAAGGAACTTCTTTTCATGTAGAAGTTTTTGACTAAATCTGCTTCATATGGATACAAAAATAGGTCTGCTAATAACGGGGCGCAACTGTTACCCATGGTAATTCCAACAGATTGTTGGGAGACTTGATCTCCAAAAACTACAGAGATATTGTCAATCAGAAACTCAAGCATCTTTTTAATATCAACTTCGGATTACTTGTGTGCACAACCAGAGTGTTTTTTTTAACGAAATGGTTTTGCAAATTTTGACCAATGACGAGGTTAGTATATTTACGAGGTCCATGTTTATTGAAAAAGCAGCTGTCAACGATGTCAAAAAGCCTGGACTTTAATTTATCATGGAGAATGGTTGTATACAGAGTTATATTGTCGTAAGTTTTGATGACCAAAGACAAGGTAAGTAAATTTACGAGTTCCATTTTCTTTGAAAAAGCAACTATAAATGAAGTCATAAGCCTGGACTTTAATTTATTCTATTAAACTGTGCAACGTACTTGAGAATGTCCATTCTATAAACAATGACTTTGCGTTCTCGTCCACTGGCGACAGGACAATTTATAGTAGGCGCAAGTGGTCATAGCTATCAAGAACACAATAAATATGAGAGCATCACTCAATACAGGAATGTACATTCCCACAACGTTGCGTTAGGCCAAACAAAAAAATATGTGTGGTTCCGGTTACACTTCCAAAAAAGTTAGGGTAGGTAGGTAGGGAATTTTTTTTTTTTAACAAAATGATTTTCTCAATTTTTCTAAATAATACCTATCACTGCTTTGCAAATGGCATTTAGATGTGATGTGATAATATACTAGTCAATATTGGTAGGGGACACCTACATGTACACGCTAGCTTGCTTTGGACTTAATACTATTAAACACTAGCACTATGTTTTGCAAGGAGGCTGTCATTGCTGAAACTAAAATTTAAACCGGAGCCATTGATGGAAATTGGGGAAAATTCCTGAAAAAATATGAAAATTGCCAAAAAAAGTTCAGGGTCGGGGGTATAAAATAGGGAAGGTCGGGTAACCGGAACCTCACATATTTTTTTATTTGGCCTTACCACAATCCATTTTCCAGGAGTAAAAAGGATGCAACTTGTACTTTTACAGCAGTGAACGGTATTACACGAACACATTTGATCACCTAATGCGAAAACTTACGATAGGGATCTAAAAATACAGGTAAGCTGGAGCAGTTCGATTGTCCCTCATACCATATGGCCATACAACGAATGGCGGATCGCGCTCCCCGTGATAAGATTCTGAAGCTTAATGTAGGTGGAGTGTTTTACACCACAGCCAAATCTACACTGACCAGTGTGTATGGGAGCTATCTTTGGAGGGTTGCCACGGGGGACGCAACTGTGATGAGGGATGAGAAAGGGAGTCTATTTATAGATAGGGATGGATACGTCTTCAGGTGTGCTATATGTTAATCATTTTAAATAGATGATAATAATAGCTCATATAATAGGGGATTATTCTATTGACGTTTATCATTATTTTAGTGCAAAAAAAAAAAAAAAAAAAAAAAAAAAAAAAAAAAATCAAAGTAATGCATGAATCGATCTATATTTTCAAAGGATTGAAATTTTTGTGCTTAAAATAAATAGAATTATCATCAGTTAAAAAGTCTCAATCGCATAATTTCGTGTCTTATTGCATTGTATCTTTATTTTCTCAAGTATTTTGTAATGTAATGTTCTAACTAGTGAAATGAACTCTTTATTCAGTATTGATTTTCAGATTACTGTCTCACTCACTGGGCGTTCATATTGCTTAACATGGTGAGGAGATCGATATCATCCGTCTATCTACAATTACCTTTGTCTTTTTATCACACATTGAAAAGTTATTAAATAACAATTTAACTTTTACAGGTATGTCCTTAACTTCCTCCGTTCAGATCGTCTGATTGTTCCTCAGGGTTATAAGGAACTTCACATGCTGAGGGAGGAGGCGGAGTTTTTTGGATTAGAAGATCTCTGCTCACAAGTTGATAAAGTTATCAAATCTCGGAGACGGAAACCCCGACCACGACTGACGAGGAGATTCAGCCGAAGCTGGGGATCGGACTTAACGAAGATTTCCACGGATGAAAACGGATCGGTCATTTTTGAAGATGAAGGATCGGATTATTTTTACGATTAATCAGGAATTCAGCAGGAAAAACGAAACAAACAAATAACAAAAGAGTCAAACAGTTGTTTGTATATGTTTATGGTGTGGCACTCAACGGGAGTAAATGTCATCAATTTTCAGTGCATGGAGTCGACTGCGTTTCGATTTTTCTGAATATGCGGTTAATTATCTTTTAACAAAAGTTGTAGCATATGGCGCTCCGTTGTTATTGTACATATCACACCTTTTTTTTTTTTAGTCAATAAGGCAGGAAAGCAAATTGTAACTGATTTGTTTGTATACATTACTTGCGCTTGGTTGATGCGGAGAGAGATGACTTGAATGGCAGTGCACTCTGTTAATAGAGAAGACTTTTTTCGTTTCGTTCAAAAGGTTGGTGCCTAACTTGACCTATTGCAAGTGTGCACCCCATCATGTTGATACTGATATCGGTGGGACATTATGTATTGGGAAAATAATAAAATGATACTCATTCTCTAGATTTTGCATTTTCTATCAATTTTTGTGCGAATTCGTTGAGAGAAAGACATTGATACACCTCTTTTTTCAACTGTCATGTACGTGGTGCCTCTTCACATCAATACGGGATAGGGTGAAATATTCGTCCCTCTGCAGTTCACCTTTACCCTTTGTGAATTTTAAATTGGGTGAATTTAACAAGAAGAACAGTGTAATGTAGTAAATGGTAATTGCAAATTACTTCCTTTTGCTTTTCAGTAAAAATCGAACCCTATTGACTCGGGGCTCGCTTCGTGAGAGAAAGGTCACATCCCCGGTGAGGCGCCAATCCTAAGACATCACGTTTAACTTGGGTGGTGTGACTGCTCCTATGTCACGGTAGGCCTTGGCACGATAAAGAACCCTCACTGCTACGATCGTATATGTAAAGATTACTTTACCTAAAGCTGGTGACATCCCTACATGATTAAACATTCTCTAATTGAGCATAAAACAACACAGAATCAATCAATCAAGCAAGCAAATATTTAAGGATTTACTGTCTAGTCTGTTGGGGATTAAAAGTATATGTTCATGCTAAGACAAATTCAGAGGCTTTTATTTTAACATTAGTGCTCACATAACTTGCACGTCTTTCGACAGAGATAATTTAAGTTTGTATCAGGACACACCAGCGTCTTGACTTCCGGATCAGCGCAGTGAGCTACGTCGTAGTCCTCGCACAGCCAGGGTGGTGACGTGGTGGTGGTGGTAGTTGATGTGGTGGTTGTAGGCGTTGTGGTGGTGGTCTTTGCAGTTGTTGAATGTACAGTTGCTGTGGTGTTTTGGTGAGGATGGATACCTGTTTCAAAGTCGTTTTTACTTTGACCACGATGATTTGTTAATGTTCGATAATGGAATAAGGAGAACAACAATTATTTAATTCATGTTTATTTGTATTTCACTTACGTAGCAATCTGTTTTGTTTAATGAAAAAGAGTAAAGTTTAAATATTAATTTCTTTGCAATAAATTTAATGAGTTTAATGCGAGTGCGTGAAGCCTGCGATTGGTATCCTATATGCTTTTTATAATTTTTTATAATTAAAATATGTGGCAATTATGACATATTTATCCTTATTAGGGAAGCAGTTGAACTATTTTGTGTCAAATCATTTTACTTTTTCTTGCTTTATGTGATATTTAAGTACATATACATGTATTTATCAATAACTTACCGCACTTATTACACGTTTTCTGACAGTATTTGACTGCGCGCGCAGGATCTGAGCAGAAGACCAGGTCTGCTCCAGGGGCACTGCAGAGATCCGGGTTATTGTCCACACATGGGACCATGGTGGTGGTGGTTGTTGTAGCTAAAAAAAGACCCAAATCAAATCAAGAAGACAAAACACTGTTTCAGTGACATGGAAATTAATTTTTGCATTTATTGTCTTGTAAGAGATTTTTTCCAACAATTATATTTTCAACTTTTAACCTTTGGGAAACTTACTGATTTAAAAAAAATGAAAGTAAAAAACCAGAAGTCTCAGACGAGACTGTAACTCTACTGGTTTGAACTTAAAATCAAAGGAAGAGAAAAGTTGCACTTGGATTTTGCAACAGCAATAAATAGAATAATGATCCAGAATTATGTACCTTAGTGTAGTTTACTTGTGTGCCAAGTTATACTGAAATCAGATCAGAATTGTAGGGGGAGTAGAATTTTGAAAGTATTTCAGAGAAATTCCTATTTTTAGTAACCATGGCAACACCCTCACCGAAATCAAAAACCGATAAAGAGAATCGAGTATCTTTGTGCAGTTTACTTGTGTGCCAATTTATATTGAAATCAGACCAAAACTGCAGAAGGAGTAGCATTTTGAAAAATTGTTTACAGAGAGACAGACAGACAACTAGACAGACAGACGACGGAAACCTTTCTATCGCATAAGCTCTCTGACCAGTAGAGCTAACCAGTGTTCACTTACGACATTTTCCGCATGTTTTTCTGCACCAGGTTACAGACAGTTCAGGATCGGAACATATGGAAGCCTGAACAGATGTGGTGCTACAGAAAGCAGTATTGATATCAATGCATACTTCCGGTGTTTGTATCGTTGTTGTCGTCAATTCCGTCTGTCCACCTGTCAAAACATTATTCTATTACTAGTCAGTGCAAGAAAAATCAATGAATGAAATGTGAAAGTAATGAACAATGCCAAAAGTTCAATTGAATAATACAAATTGAGAGCAGAGCAAACTCGGACCCCTGAAAACATCAAAAAGTGGGGTCAGGTGCCAAGGAGTAGTAAGCATCCCTTGTCGATCGGTCACACCCGCCGTAATCGGTAGAAAATTCAGTTTGATTGATTGATTGATTGTATGTTGTTTTACGTCCCATTCGAGAATTTTTCACTCATATAGAGACGTCACCATATACCGGTGAAGGGCTTCAAATTTTGACCTTTACTAGGCACTCAGGGCCATTGAGCAGTGAGGGATCTTTGTCGTGCCAACGCCTGCCGTGACACGGGGCCTCGGTTTTTAAGGTCTCATCCGAAAGACCCGCAACTTTCACTCCAAAGTGCCGAGCGCATGGCGAAGGAACAGTTGCTACCTATTTTTTATCGACTTAGGTCTGTCGCGGCCGAAATTCGAACTCACGACCTCCCGATCACGGAGCGAGCGCTCTACCGACTGGGCTACCGTAAAAAATTCAGTTTGAAAATAAAGACCTAACATATTGTATGAAAAACCTCAGTCAGCATTCGACCTAACGGGAAATTGTATTGCAAACAAGACCATTGTATCTACCATGGATTTTGCGAAATGTTGACTAAACAAGATGTTTGATATCCTTGAATCATACACTTATTTTTCATTAGCCTACTTGGTTTAGAAATTGTTCGTACGTAAAACATCTGCTCTTGCATATCGAATTAACTAATAAACACCATGTACAGGTGATAATGGTTTTTGCTACATAAAGGGATAAAGGGAAGCTGACGATAGAAAAGTTTAACGTATGATCTTTAGCATAAAATTTAGTTGTTACATTGCCGTCAATGTATTTTTATAATAGAACATCCAAATATGAAACAGATGTGTAAGACTATGTCGTCTTTTATTTCAAGTCGAACATATCAACATATGAATGAAAATGAGAGTATTAATTTGTTAATTGATCTATATATCTAAATGTTGAATTGAAGGCCACAGCAAGAGACTTATTTTCATGTAATTTTTTTTTTGATAAACTATGCTTAATAAGAATATAAAGAGATGTCTGCTAGTAGAGGGACACAACTAATAGTGAATTCCGGCACAATTCCTACTGATTTTTGGAAAACCTGGTCTCAAAAAAAAAAAACAACAACAAAAACATAGATTTTGTCAATGAAGAACTCAAGCATCTTCTTAATATCAGCCTCACTTGTGTGTAGAATTAGAATGATGTTTAACACAGTTTAGATGACCAATGACAAAATTTTGTGATTTCATACCATCTGAATGGTCTTCGGAGATTACATATGTATAGGTACCTACATCGATTAATATGTTGTTTTACAGCACTGCTGAAATTCTCCTTTACTGCTGTTAATATTTTCACTGCTGTTAATATTTTCTTGAGAAGTAAAGAAAGAGGCTTGGTAGAACATTTACTAGATCTTGCTATGCACCCTGTGTGTAAAGATTCTTATGAAGTATTGGAATCCAGTATAACTGTACTAATTCACATTCAATTTGATTGCTTGGAATATTGAAAATATTTAAAACTGACAAAAAATTTTGAAAGGATTGATGAATGTAAGTTTGATTACCACTTGTAGGATAAAATCCAAGTTCCTCTAAAAACCCATTGTAATAATGAGCTTTACAAATAAAGACTAAGTTGTTACCTTCTTTTTCAGCTGGAACCAGTAAAAATTGATCGTTTAATCTAATTCTTTGGCCACTTCAGAATTACTGTAGACATACGATATTTCAATTTCTTATACACGAAGTATGGAGGTAACGAACAGTATTCAAGCTCAAAGTCCATTAAAACAAGACAAATCGGGAACAGAGCAAACACGGACCTCCAAAATCATCAGAGGTGAGATCAGGTGCTATGGAAGAGTAAGCATCCCCTGCCGACCGGTCGCACCCGCCGTGTGCTCCTTGTTATGATCGAACCCCCCCCCCCCCCCCCCCCCGAAAAATCCGTAGAAAATTCAGTTTGTAAATAATGGCCTCGTGTAATTAGTATGAAAAAGGCCAGTCAGCATTTGACTTAATGATAGGTTGTATTTGCTGACAAGGTCATTGTATCGACCATAAAACTTGCGAAATGATGACTTCAATCGAGACTGTTGATATCCTTGTATCATCAACTTGTTTGTCAATAGCTTGCCTCATTTTAGAAATTGTTCATACGTAGAGCATGCTCTTGCGTATCGAATCATCTGGGAGATAAAAACCCCATATGCAGGTGCTAAGGATATATTGCTATGTAAGTAAGGGAATTTGACGATTGAAAAAAACCATCACGTTTATCATAGAGCTTGGTTGCTACGTTACCATTAATGTCTTTTTCTAGTAAATTATCCAAATATGACAGAGATGTGTCAGACTCTGTGGTATCTTTTAATTTAAGTTCACTGGGATATATCGAGTCGACATAGGAATGGAAATAACTATTGTTAATTGATAATACGTCGTCGATATATCTAAAGTTGAGTTGAAGGCCACAGCAAGTGTTATATTATTCTCATGTAGAAGTTTTTGGATAAATTCTGCTTCATATGAATACAAAAATAGATCTGCTAATAAGGGGGCGCATTTGGTATTTGAGAATTCCAACAAATTGTTGGAAGACGTGTTTTCCATAAACGACATAGAAATTTTCAATCAGAATCTCAAGAATCTTTTTAATATCAACTTCAGAGTTATTGTGTGCACATACATATTTTTCAAACAAATGTTTCCAAAACGTGTCTGAACCACACAAATAAAAGTTTAATTCGTCCTTTGGTGGTTTAAAGGCAATCATTTATATGCAACAATTGAGGGTATTATACAAAATATCCGAATGATATCTCTACAGACTTGTCTGATATGATTTTTTTTCATATTACCGTTGCATAGATCTTGATCACAGCAGTAGGACTTTAATCCGCTACCGTCTCTCCGTCCTAGTATTGGAACCGAAGTTATCACTGGACATGCCTAAGGAATAGCAACAATAGATACTGTTTTTATACAGTAGTTAAAAAGAACATAAATCCCCCGCCCCCTCCCCCTAAAAAGCAATTTCAAATGACATCTTAGGCTTGAAAACTTTTATATGTATCAATATTTGTGATGCATTGCACATGAATTTTGATCGTTTCGTTAAAGTATTTGCCTGAAAGACTGCATATTAGTAACGATTGATAAATCATCGAATTCAGTACATTTGTATTATTTTATAAGAATCTAGAGATCCACGGGCCTATTCGATTAATTGTCACTTATTTTGTTTCTAGCCACAATATGTTTATTTTTACTGCTTTTCAAAAGTTAAGAGCCTTAGCTCACCCACTCCAAAGAGCAAAGAATTTGAGAAATAATTTTTAATTTACACTTCATGAGGATATTTTATAAAAGTTTGAAGATTTGAGATTTTTTAATGTATTTTAAAGCATTGACCCCCTTCCCAGAACTTGAATGTACACACCATGATGATGTGACTGGATCTGTTTTTTTTTTTTACAATTTGTATGTTTTCTGGAAAAAAAAATATCTGCATATTTCTTTTAAAACTTTGGACCCTTTTTGTGACCTCATCCGTTCTTTGGATGCTGAACAACCTTGAATCTACATTTCAATAGCATGCTTGCCAAATTGCATTGATGCATTTGACATTTTAGATGGAGATCTTTATAAGATTTCCATATGGATTTCTCTTGTGTGTGGCCCCAAACCACTGCTGATGAACAAAGTTACTCAAATCTGCAATAATGAACATGAATTGCTTGTTAATTTATCAGTTTGATGGGTTTTTCTGCTATCGAACTCTTGAAAAGAATATCTATAAAGATTTTCTTGATATGTGTTTCTATGTGAAACTTTGCACTCCTTAATAGCCCCATAAAGATGCTTGTATATAAGATGGACAATTTGCAGCCGTGCTTTTCTTGAAGAAGTTGTTAAAAAAATTCCTTATACCATGGTATTTCTTTGTGAAACTTTACACTTTATTTGTGGCCTCAAGCAGTGGATGGAGCAAACTTAAATATGACCTACATTAGGATGCTTAAAAATAAGTTTACAATTTGTTTCCTTGTCTTTGGAAGGTTTAAGGAGGTATCCCACACCAAAACTTTATTTTATGAATGTTTAGAGTAACTCTGTTGAAATTTGATTTTTTCATCGAAAGATCACTACAACCTTTAATTATTTATTGCAATTTTGGGGGAAGGGGAGAGAAAGTTGAAAAAAAATCTTTTGGTGCAAATAAGACTCCTCAGAGCTTCAAATGTGCTGTTAATTAATGCCTTATATAAATATTCGATAAAATATGTCAAGAAGAGTCAGACATTTTACTTATTTTAATAAAAGATAATTAATAAATATCAAAATTATAACTTGTTAATATTTTTAAAAAAATCTACATCCTCAAGAAACATTTTGAATATATAAAAGAAATATTACACAATCACATTTTAAAAAGAAATTAAAACAAAATTGCGAAATTTAAGAACAAATTATAATATGAGTCTATCCCGATCTAATTTAAATTGATCCCGACTGGATTTATATAAAGTGAAAATATTTAATAAAAATTAATATGTAAATAATAAGCTGCATTATGGTTTACAAATCTTATTAAGCAAGTCGATTTCTCCACGGCAACTGCATCAGATTGACAGTTATTTGTCATTTTTTTTTGAATGATTTTTTTTTTATAGGGATCGCTTTTATTTTAATCAGGATTGGTGCAAATTTGGAAATTAATTTTTTTCCTAGATATCGCGTTTTCATTTCAATTTCTTTTTAAAATATTCCTTTCTATTGATACAACACTTCTTCAAGATTTCATCCACAGATTAAAAAAAAATCAACAAATTATGTTTTTTCAAATTCATAAATATTTTTTATATAAAAATCTAAAATGTCTACTTGACTCTCCATGACATGTTTAATTATATTTTTATGATTTGTTTCAATTAAAGCAAATTTGAAGATCTCAGATGTCTTATTTGCAACAGAAAACATTTTTTTTCCATTTTCTCTTAAAAAATACCAAAAAATGATATAAAATAATGAGGAGCTAATTGGTCTTTCAATGACCTTTAAATGACAAAATCATATCAAACGAAATACTTTGAACATCTGTTAATAATAAAGACAAGAGGCCCAAGGGCCTTAACGGTCACCTGAGTTTAATACAGCACATACGCTCATAATGTTGTCCAAGAATTTCAAAAATCTGGTAAAAATTCCCTTGCTTATTAGTCCCCTACCGGTGAAACCGGAGGGGACTATAAGTTTCCTCTGAGTCTGTCCGTCCGTCTGTCTGTCCGTCTGTCTTTCTGTCAGTCTGTCCCACTTGGTTTTCCGCACTTTTTTCCTAAACGCTTGCAGATACTGAGCTGATTTTTGGTATGTGAGTGTATCTTGATGAGTTACAGAACAAGTTTGCATTTCGTTTCGCTTCATTGATTTTTGACGGAATTATGACCTTTTCAATTTTTAAGGGAATTCCGCGATTTTTTTATAAACGCGTGCAGATATTGAGCTGATTTTTGGTGTGTGACTTAACCTTGATTACTTATAGATCAAGTTTGCATTTCGTTCCGCTTCAATGATTTTTAACGGAATTATGGCATTTTCAATTTTTAACGGGAACCAGATAACACTTGCCGGTAGGGGACTAGTATTGCTAATGCAATACTCTCAGAATGCTTGTTTTTCATGGGAGGTCCGAGCAATCTCCTTCGGATCGAACTTGGTTTGCCCAAGTCTTACAAGGATGATAATGAATGCAAAATATACAAATACAATGGACGCTTGTCTAGTGTGTCAGGTATTGAATATATATACAGAAATGTTTTTGTCACTTTCCTATTGCTACAGTTAACACAAAGAGAAATCTCTAATGCCTGTATATTTTTTTCTCGAGGTGATGCCTCCTAGCTACTCAAACAACTTAGCTGCTTGCCACTTGGTAAAACTTGGTACCAACACTTGCCTCTTGAGTGTACTAAAAATTCGGTAATACTTGTTACCAGCACTCACCACTTGGCTATACAACGTGGGTATTTGCCACTTGTCAAAAATTACAACACGTCCCTTAGTCAAACTGGCTCTTTGTGATCACTCTATGGTCTGCAATGATTTAGCCTGACAACATCTTGTCAATTGTCAATCAGGACACCACATTACAACACACTTAGAACAATTGGCTACTTTACTACATAAATAATCTTAATGTCAATCTTTTATATTGCTTCACAGGCAAGTATCCGACTTCGAGCATGGTAAGCTCATTTAAACCATTCATTTTTATTTTTTTTTCTCTCTCTCTCTCTATATATATATAACATTCTTTCGTGTACTCTCAATCAATCAAATAACCTGTTTAAATTAAATTAAATACAAGGATTTCTTGATAATTACAATTTGGCAGAGGGGGTAACTCTCTTTTGCTTCACTTATAACAATTTTGAACTCTGCTTGCCTCCTAGATACCCAGTAGCAGAGAAGAAGCACATTTATTTATATTTATACATTTACATTGATGTTATTGCATTTAGTTTGTTTGCTTATTAATACTCAGGGACAGAAGAGAAGATTTTCAAAACATTAACACATTTACGCTATATAATATCAATATATCGCTATATAATCAACAGATTAAAACCCAAATACCAGAACCTCTGATCCAGAGGTCCTGAAATTTAAAATTTTGGAAGAGGCACCCTTACTTATCATGATTATGTACTTATTTCATCGGCTTAATACCCAAGGGCAGAGGAGAAGATTTTCAAGGAATTTTTGCATTTTCACTATAATCATTAGAGCCACGCCCCAACACGGGAAACCCTGACCCAGGCTCCCTGAAATTCACAATTTTGGAAGAGGCATCCTTGTTTGTCATAACTATGCATTTACTTTGTTTGCTTAATACCCAGGAGCAGAGGAGAAGATTTTTTAATAACTAATGCATTTTCACCACACATTCAATGTAGCCCAGCCCTAGCACCAGAGCCTCTGACCCTGGGGCCATGAATTTCACAATTTTGGTAGAGGGCTCAATGCTTATTACAATCATGCCAATACTTTGACTTTTTGATGTTGAGGAGTAAAGAAGAAGATTCTCCAAGTATGAAGGTAAATTAATATAGAGAGAAATACATTTAACAAGTTAAGTTGTGTATCTTTTATAATGTTATTTACTCTTACCAAATCATCAGCACATTCAAGTGTTAGATTCCCGCTGGAATTCCGAAATAAACATCGCTAAAATATATAGAAAAAACAGAGTAATTTTCATTTAATTACAATATTAATCAGTGTATCAAGAATTTAAAATAAGAGAGGATGCAATGAAAGAGAATATTTTCATTTCTAAATATTAAACTCTTTTTGAGGATGGAAGTAAAGCAAAATCTTGAAATTACTTAAAACGCATACATTTACATTTATTGTTTCCTTGGAAGAATGAAAAAAAATATCGCTTCTTTGAAACAAAACAAAACAAACAAAAAACAAAACAAATTAAAAAAAAACAAACAAACAACCAAACAAACAAGGAAAAAAAAACAAATAAGACCCCCTCCCCCCCCCCCCCGAAAAAAAACTGTTTTTAGAAACGATAATTGGTTAATCAAGTGGACTTTGAATGATTTTGCACCTTTCTAAAAATAATTCAATTCAATTCACTTTATTGACAATTACTATGTCGGCATACAGTCAAAAATATAAAATTTAAAAAATATTTATTATGTACAACATAAAAAAAAGAATATGTACTGTACCTTTCCGTCAGGACAATCAACCGTTTGTTTACAAGTCCTGGTGTCAGCAATATTACTGCAATGGTAACAGGACAGTCCTGCAAGAACACCGAGTCATTATAATTGTGCTATGTTCTAAGTGATCTAACTAATTGATGCTATTTAAGATTCAATACTTTGTTTATATACTATTGAAGCACCATTTTAAAGCATCAAGAAGATTGCAATAAGTGATTTACCTTAAGTGATTTTTAATTATGACTCTGTCGTGTTCTAACTGGCCAAAGTAAATAATTCTACATAAAATGTAAATGGTGCTTCAAAAGTATGTGACGATCCTTCCCCTCCTAAAGACAATTTCAAATAATACAAAGATTATATTGCCAGAAGAGTATCTAGTTTGGATGTGAAAGGTAAGGGATGTGCCATTTCTCACGTATTTTAATTGCCAATTAAAAATCTTAGTCTTAAAGTAGATTTTTAATCGGTGAAGCAAAAATATAAGAAAGGACAGTTGGCTTGCGGAGTAGCAAATTTTCATATTAGATATTCTATTTGTAATTTTATCTTTGGATCTGATTTCTTATGACGGCCATTATTTTCATACTGAATTTACTATGAATTTCTCCTTTTGCCCAGTCGTGACAAAGAGCACACAGAATATGTGACCGGTCGACAGGGGATGCTTACTATTCCGTGACACCTGATCCCACCTATGTTTTTAGCGCTGCATTTCATATTCGGAATTTTGCATTGCATTTCCGACATTTTTTTACTTTCATTTCGGACATTTATTTATTTATTTTACATTTCCGGAATTTTTTCGAGGGTACCTTTTGTCAATTTAATGTTATCCATTATGTTATAGGTCGAAATAGAATTTTAACAGTATGTAAATATTACATTTATTTCAAACCACATTTTCCGAATAAAAACATTACAATACATTATATATACATGCAACACTAAGTCTAGTTCAAAGTTTTGCATGCGTTAAATGATCATGCAATTTTTGTTCACCAAATTTAATGTCCACTAAAATATATGTCAGTGACTGCAGTCAAAAAAACAGAATACCTTCAACGATAATGGCTTTATTTCCTCGACTAGTTTCTGTATGTCTTATAAGTTCCATGTTAACCTATCTGATTTCAAATTTAAACTGAATATCTTGATCTGAAAGGAGATGAGAGAAAGTTCGCAACACTAACATGTACCCCAGGGTAAAACCATCATAAGCTCCTTTAAAAGCTGAGCAAAACTTATCATTTGGCTCTTTAAAAAAATTATAAGTGAAGTATCAATTCTGTTTTCATTCCCGGAAAAGTACTACATGTATATGATAAATGTCGGAGATGAAAGCTTTGAAATGTCGGAAATGAAAACTACATTATGTCCATATTTAAAAAAAAAATTCGGATATGAAAAGTGATTTAAAATTGATTTCATTTCTCTCGCACAAACCTTTTAAAAAGATAATTAAGTTTCTATGGACTTTTTGTAGTTAATTTGAACCATAACCTCTACTATTTTGGCATTGAATTGATTAAATAAACTGTAAATTCGCTATAAGATCATTTTTTTGGCACAAACAGTGGAGGGTGCACTGTTTTTAAGTTACAATGTATATGTACACAAAAAAGACCATAAAACAAACTGGTTTGCATATGAAAAACTAGACTTCTGTTGCCCCTGAGCGAATTCGGGCTGCCCTTTACTTCCATTTAATAGTCCAAGGCATTTAAAACACCATTTGTTTTCAATCTCTGTGAAATTATATATTTTTCATTTGCAGCCAGTTTTGCTGTATTTATTGATACTCTCCGTTATAATTATCTGTGTGGAAAGAGACTGACTTTTTTTACTTCCTGTATAGAGTAAATGTTTTGCACTATAGTCTTGGGAACAGTTGTTATTTCATATTTAGTTTAAATGGGTGATATCACCTATTCAGATAGGGGATATCACCAATTCAAAAGCTGAATAAGTGAAAACACGAATTCGAATAGGTGATACACTGTATTACCAATTAAATAGGTGATATTACCAATTGAATAAGTGATATCACTTAATGGCGGTAAAAACCAAAACGGCCCCTCATACTATTGCTAGTAATAGCATACATTCTAGTTTTGATTCTTTTTATCATTCGTTCCACATTTCGACATTTTACTAATTATAGACGTAGATGGCCAATTAGCAAACAGGGTGACTTCGGAAGTCTCTAAAACATCAAGTAATTCTTATTTAAATTGTAAGGGACTTTTGCTATATGTCCGAAAATTACATGTATGTACACTGTTTAAATAACTGGCTTAAAAAGGCTTAATTAATCAGTAGATAGACATTCTCTTTCTCTCTCTGGATAGTATAAGCGACAATAAAAAGATTTAAAAAAAAAAAACAATGATACATAAGTCAAATCAGAATGAAAGCATTTCCACATAGTGTACATTGATGTCGATTAAAGTTGTCAATTCATCATAAAAGACATTAAAAAAATTAATGAGAGAAACAGATCATCGCTATATTTTCAATTTACCTGATGTGAGCAATTTGATCCACGGGCCTCTTGATTGATTAATTCTTAATTTTTTATCCCCCCCCCCCCTCCCTCAAAGATCTCCCTAATAAAATCTACCAGGGGCATTATTCTACAGGGGGTCATTTTTCCTCACGTAGGGCATGCAGATTTTAAGGGTGATGCCACTTTTTATGCCCCCGTATCGAAGATTCGGGGGTATACATGTATAGTTTTTGCCCTGTCCGCCCGTCTGTTTGTCTGTTGGTTTGTTTGTTCGCAAAAATTAACCTTGTCCATAACTTTAGATTGGTTGGAGCTTTGACTTTCATATTTCACATGTCTATTCCTTGTGACAAGACCTTTCTTTGGGTACCATCATATTTGACCTTTTGACCTTGACCTTGGAGTTTGACCCACTTTTGCAAAATGTTATGAGATTTTGACCTTGGCCATAACTTTTGAACAGATGGTGCTTGTTGTTTCAAACTTCACATGTGTATTCTTTATGACAAGACCTTCCTTTGGATACCAAAAACTTTCACCTTGACCTTGGTGTTTGACCTACTTTTGAAAAACTTTAACCTTGGCCATATCTTTTGAACAGTTGGTGCTTGATGTGTATTCCTTGTGACAAGACCTTCCTTTGGATACCAACCACTTTGACCCTTTGACCTTGACCTAGGAGTTTGACCTACTTTCGAAAAACTTTAACCTTGGCCATCACTTTTGAATGGTCGGTGTTAGGGCTTTCATACTTCACATATGTAATCCTTGTGACAAGACCTTCCTTTGGATACCAACAACTTTGACCTTGACCCTGACGTTTTACGTACTTTTAAAAAACTTTAACCTTCGCCATAACTTTTGAACAGTTGGAGCTAGGGCTTTCAAATTTCACGGGTATATTCCTCGAGACAAGACCTTTCTTTGGATACCAACATTTTTTATCTTTTGGCCTGGATTTTGACTTGCATTTGAGAAACTTTAACCATCGCCATAAGCTGCCATACGGGGGCATCAGTTTTTCGAGGTCAAATAATGACCGGGGGTCATTTCTCGACGTTGAAAAAAGACATCCGATCATTATTCTACGGGGGTCATTATTCGTCTTTACACCTGTCGTTTTTAGAATCCGTGTTTGCTTTGCTCAATATTTGTATTTTGAGCATGGTAACATTATCTTCATTTTTTTATTTAAATTTTGTACCTTTGAAGTAGTGACAGGCTTCTCCCTCTTTGTATGTCAATTGCTTTTAATTTTGTTACTCGCAATAACATGTTAATAATTGATTACATTTATGCTTGTAAAAGGTCCTTGTGCAGACTGAAGCAGCATGGTATATGGATGTGTGATTTATGTCCTCGCTTTCGAGAAAGCGAGGGGAAATTAAATCTCATTCGTCTGTCAGACTGTCAGTCTGTCTGTCACAAAAACTTTAACCTTAGCCATAACTTTTGAATGAGATGAGATATGGCTTTCATATTTCACATGTATATTACCTGTGACAAGACCTTTTCAAAAATACCATGATTTTTTCCCCGTGACCTTGAAGTTTGACCTACTTTTCAACAAATTTTAACATTACTGTAAATCACTTATTATTCACGAGAACTTTATTAAATTACGCGAGTCTGTCTGCTCGAGAATATTTTATCTCGCGTACATCTGTAATGTAAAGGATTATATATCGCAATAACCAAAGCTCACCAAAATTTTGTTTCACTTATTAATAACAAATAGCTATCTCGCGAAATAAGGTGTCGCGAAAATATAGTGATCTACGGTACTTTAAATTGATCATAACTTTTGAATGAAAAGAGATATGGCTTTCACATTATACAAGTATAATACCTCTGATAAGACCTTTCCAGATATACTAAGATTTTTGACCCTTTGACTTTGAAGTTTGACCTACTTTTCAAACATTTCAAACATTTTATCTTTACTTATAACTTTTGATTAAAAAAGTCTTTCATATTTGACATGTGCCTTATCTGTGACAAGACCTTTTCAAATATACTATGATTTTTGGCCCTCTGACCTTGAAGTTTGACCTACTTTTCAAATATTTTAACATTACGTTAATTGTTCATAAAATTTAAATGAAAAAAATAGGGCTTCCATATTGCATATGTACGTCACCTGTGACAAGACCTTTCCAAATATGCTATGGTTTTTAATTCTGTGACCTTCATCTTGAAGTTTGACCTACTTTTCAAAGATTTTATCTTTGCTTATAACTTTTGATTGAGAAAAGATAAGGCTTTCATATTTGAGATGTACATTACCTGTGACAAGATTTTTCCGAGCATGCTATGACTTTTGACCCCTTGACCTTGAAGTTTGACCTACTTTTAAAAAAAATTAACATTACTTTAAACTGGTCAAAAAATTTAAACGAGAAACGATAAGGCTTTCATATTACAAATATGTACATATTTTTATCAACCGTGACAAGACCTTTCCAAATATGCTATGTTTTTTTACCCCGTGACCTGGACCTTGAAGTTTGACCTGCCTTTCAAACATTTTATCTTTGCTTATAACTTTTGATTGAGAAAAGATAGGGCTTTCATTTTTGATATGTGCATTAACTGTGACAAGATTTTTCCGAACATGTTATGATTTTCTACCCCTTGTCCCTGACCTTCATTTTTGACCTAATTGTCAAAAAATTTAACTTTGGTGAATACTTTTGAATGACATACGATAGAACGTTCATATTTGACAAGTGCATTACCTGTGTCAAAATGTTTCCTTATGTGCTATGATATTTGACCTTCACCTTCAAGATTGACCTAATTTTCAAATATTTTATCAGTTTGCTAACTTTTGAATTAGCGAAGATAGGGCATTCATATTTGACAAGTGTATTACCTGTAACAAGCATTTCAAAATGTACTGTGATTTTTAACCCAGGACCCTGACCTTCAATTCTGACCTTTTTTCAAAAATATTACCATTGCTGATAACTTTTGAGAGAAGATACCGTAACGGTATTTACACATGAAATGTCCATTACCTGTTTTAAGACCTTTCCGATTGAATACTCTGATTTTTGATATTTTTTTCACATGTACATTAATTGTGACAAGACTTTTCGGATTGTATTATGATATTTGACCTCATGACCTTGGTGTTGAAGTTTGATGTAGTTTTGAGAAGCTATAATCTTTGCCATAATTGTTAATAACTCAATAATTTATGTCTTTTTTGTATGATGCACAGACAAGACAGGACACACAAACAAGACAGTTACAATATGACACAAATATTTGCAACCCATCCACTAAGACACCGAAAGCGGGGGACCACAATTCTTTGAATTTGCTTGTTAGATCTCATGTAAGGGAGAAATATCAGTACAATTTATAATAAAATTAATCTTTGAAAACAGTATTTCATCTTTCTTCTGCTTGATGTAAGTATTTAAATACGCAGCTAAAATGACCCCCTCTCCTCTCACCCGTTTAGTTAAGTAAGTGAATTGGAGGCTATATACAGATTGATTGAGGAAATCTTGGATAGAGAAAGAAGCCATTTATACTTAATTCTAAGCTCTTTACGCAAGATACAATGATAAGATACGTCATAAACGAAGGATAATTTGAATCATTAAGTGGGGATTTTTTCTTTACAAATTTTGAAATGCGATTTTGACATATGTTTGACCGTTGAATTCCTCAAACTTTTTCAGTATGAAAATACTCCATGTGGTCAAATCCTCAAGAAAGAAATATGTGTAATGTTTCCAAGTATATTGCATCCCTACTTCAGGTTTAACTATTTTATGAATACAATAATGAAAGAAAAAAAATCACCTTGGGCATAGTTAATATTTAGTATTGTCCACACAAAAACAAATGGCGTCGTCCACATCTTATCAGCAGAATCTAAGGTCATGAAGTAAAGAGACCTAATGGTAGATATTTACTCTGGTATTACACCATACTTAAAATAGTATAGCACTGCTTTTTATGCCCCTGTAATCGAAGATTCGGGGGTATATAGTTTTTGCACTGTCTGTCAGTTTGTCTAGCTGAATGTCTGTCTGTTTGCCTGTTTGTCCGCAAAAACTTTAACCTTGCCCATAACTTTTGATTGGTCGGAGCTATGGCTTTCATATTTCACATGTGTATTTCTTGTGACAAGACCTTCCTTTGGGTACCAATATATATGACCTCTTGGCCTTGGAGTTTGACTATTAAATACAAAATGTAACTGAAATGTATATGAAAAGTAATGGTAATTACTGATACTTTTTAAAGTAATACATTACATTACAATTACTTGTAATTGAAAGATGTATCCATTACACATTACATCCCATTACATTGAAAAAATTGTAATGATTACAATGTATTACATATTACCATTACCCCAGGTCTGCTTGGAGTTTGGCCTACTTTTAGAAAATATTAACCTTGACCATAATAACTTTTCAATGGTTGGAGCTATGGCTTTCATATTTAAGAGGTGTAATTCTTGTGACAAGATCTTCTTTTTGGGTACCACCATATTTGACCTCTGGCCCTTGGAGTTTGACCCACTTTTGCAAATATATATATATATATATATATATATATATATATATATATATATATATATATATATATATATATATATATATATATATATATATATATATATATATATATATATATTTAAAATCATAATTTTTCTAAAAGGTCTTTGAAGTTTTATATCTTGTAGCACAGTCCTGCAGAAACTGACTTGTGATTTTTTTCTCATATTTGGTAAATCTTTCATTACATAGCAACCATGTTAGAATTCTCCAAAGTTACATGTAGTATACAGAAAAAAAAAATACTCTGTGGAGATATCTACTTATATTCGTCATCAGCTGATAGAAAATATGAAAGTCTTAGAGACATAATTGTCCCTTGTAGACTATAGCATAGGAAACACTCCAGTAGACGGCCAGCCAACGAACATGAAGCAATTGGGAGAAATATTATAGGTGGAAGTGACATATTCGATCGAATTAACCCCTCTTGACAGAAATGGAGAAGCCGTGTTATTCATATAATTGTTGCAACTGTAATATCAAAATTGGCAATCCCCGACTTAATGATACACGGTGGGTTTTATTATAAAAGCAGGGTTTTTAGACAGTTTCAATATGCCTTAAATTTGATTAAGCAATGCATTTGTATACTAAAGAAAAGTCATTGGGTAATTGTTTTTCATCCTTTCCTCAGTAATAAGCAGTATGCGCTTCTGAAAAAGTTACATTTTGACGTTCAAGAGGATTTGCTATTGAAAGACTTGCCGTTTCATCTGACTGGACAACTGGTGTTTGACGTAAGCTTACATCATCAAATTGCAGGCATTTTACTGGACGAGCTCATTAAAAGGGTTGTCGTGTAGTTCTTCGTAACCGTTTCCTGGCATCGCAGACAAAGAAATGTCCTTTTCCTGATACGACAATCAAAGAGAGCGGCTGGACAAAGAAAGTAGTGTCAAGGTTAGTACCTAGTCATAAGTATATATGTATATCATAGTATAATAGGAATATGTGTTAAAGACGTAGAAATATCTTACACGTGTACTTTAAAAATAGATCCAGATGTCGGAAATTTTATTATATATTTTACTAAGTTACAAAATAACTTTTATTCAATCGTTGAAGTGGGAGGGATGTGGTCTTTAAATTCTAATTTCAGCAATTAGGTTACATGTATATTGAGGAACCCCAGGGCGAGAAAGTCACGGGACTATAATTGTCTTAATTCAGTTTGCTCGACCCTTAGATTAAGGTTTTCTTCATAACCGTTGAGAAATTTATCAAGATTTGGTACATTGTTGTGTTTAGCGGACTTTCCGATCTGGTTTCTTTTAATTCAAAATTTTATTGGCTAAATTATAGCTCTTTTTTGGATTGAAATAAATTTTAAAAATCTGTTTTGTGGAAATGTTTTAGTTGAATGATAAGAAGAATTAACAACATATTTAAGTTTTAGTAACCAATTCCCTTAATAAAATACTAATAAACTGAAAAGCGATTTTGTTTTACCAAAACTGGTATAGCTACATGTTGACTTGTAACATCTTTAATCTTATTTATTTATAAATGTATACGTACGTATATATACCTAGATATGAACAGATTGTAGACATGAACAGAAACGTATGATAACAGGGAATTAAAGTCTTCTTCAGAGAGTATCAGTGAAACAAAATCATGTTGTTTTGTTTTGTTTTTTTTTTATTTATTTAGGTACATGTGTTTCGCATTTCACTGCGTCATCAATCAATATATATATTATTTGAATTTCACTAAATAAAAGACGCTAAAAATAAAGAAATGTTATCGTGGTCTTATGGAAAACATAAGCCACTAAAATTAGTAGTTGTGATGAGTAACCTGTCTAGACGTAACTCTCGGAGAGGTAGAATTGGTCTTGATATCTTCCAATCTGTAAATTACAGTGTAAGTCGTAGTCTACTGTTGCATAATATTTTATAACTTTTCGGGGAATTGGGAGCATCTCTGTTACTTAAGCAATTTAATAAAATACTTCCTATCATGTGAATGTGTTAATATAAACTTTTTGGCTAAAACGCAGGTTAATCAAATCTTTCATTTTAAAAAGGACACGAGGTAAAATTTATACTGGTAAGTATATACACTTGAGACCTATATAGAATTACTTCAAGAAATGGAAGTTAAATGGAGTTCAACATATGTATTAATTTATTTATATGTGTGCTATCATATTTCATACAACAGTACTGCATGATTTTAATACATTTTCATTTGAAAATTTAAATTAATTTGAATTGACTTTCAAATTAAAACTTATCGTGGTATATAAACGATTGTGGCTATTTTTCACGGGAACTTTCCAACTTATCACTGACAGTTGAGGTCATACGCCTCATCAGTTGAAAATCTTATATATACATGCTGATAATCCAGATTTTTCTTTTTAATGCTCAAAAACAGAATGAAGATAGTCGTCCTCATTGTTGTTTGTGTCATGTGGTCAACAACAGACTCACAGCTGATCCACGAGATTCTGCGGGTAAGACGGTTATATCTGCTTATAATGTCAGAAAACGAACAAGAGACTATATCATGGGTTCAGATGTCTTAATTCCTCTCCAGCTTTAAAAGAATATCTAGCTGCTGAAGAAAGTCCCCAAAAAATATGTTCAAAAGGATTTGTTTGATTAAATTAAGGGAATGTTTTGAATACAAAATATACGAATCGTCTAGGGCTAGGGTGGCCAGCTAATTAGGCAGGGAATCTGTGGGCCGCCTTGAGGCCCCAAGTGGTCTATAGGGTTAAAAAAAATTGCGATGTTCTCATTATTTAAAGTAAATGATTAACATTGTTGTATTTTCAGGATTTTGAATATTTCACTATGAATTTTGAATATCAGCCAATTTACTGTAAATTGTACTTATTTATGATCGACTTCGCTAATCACTTGAAGAGGAAGACTGTGCTAAATTTTGACTGCGCTAAATAATCTACTTTTACAGTATATTATGTAAAGTTCCAGAGCTCTGCAAAGATTTTTAAAAAGGTTTATTGTAAGATTACAGACTGTCTAAGTCATATACAAGGAAGAGTATCCCGACAGCAATAAAATGATATCGCCAGTAAAATACACGAATTATTATCACAGTTCTTATTATTAAATAGTAATTGCATGACATGCTAACTAGGAAATACGAGTACTTATTTTGACAGCGATCAGCAGGTCTAGGAAATCTCCAAATGGCGATGACGGAACTAGGTGATACTGACAAGGACGGGACACTGTCGGGTGAAGAGATCCAGGATTTCTTTAGGTATTTTGTAAACCTCAGTCCTGCAAACTCCCTGTTAACGGCTCGACAGTTCATAAAAGACGGCGACTTCAATGGAGATGGCAAATTGAATGAAACAGGTAAAATTTTAGAGTGTATCGCAGAGCTATCATAACCGGCTAGGGAGTCCTCAGCTAAAATTAAGAAACAAAAGTGTCTTCTGCTTAAGTAGAAAGAACTATATAAAATGAGTAAATCACCATGTATTTTTTAATGAAAATTTTTATTTGAGTTTGTCTCAAAATCTGTCGCGTTCGATGCAAGGGAGAGATTGCAATGGATACAACATTAGAATTCGAACGAGAGAGAGAGAGAGAGAGAGAGAGAGAGAGAGAGAGAGAGAGAGAAAAGTCCTTGACTGGTTATGCCTTTTGTTCTCACTTTATCACCCTCTCTCCCTCGTATTTGGTTCCTTGCCCTAAAGACGAAAGAGCGAGTATACCAAAGAGAGGATAACAACACATGTTATGCAGACAGCTGATGATTTCGACGAATTATTTTTAATTTATGTGAGATAAAATACAGAAAGGAATTTTCACCAAGTTTGGCAAATGATAGTTAGATAAATAGTTGTCAGATAAATGGTACTCGTGTCAAGATAAATTATATTAAATATGTTTATTTAGCTCATTTTACTTGCATTTCAGAACTCCAAACAGCACTGCGGATTTACAGAGGGTCAGCATGAGTTTCACCTGTTCCATTTGATGTGTATTAAATGTGCTGGCATTAAATTAAAAAAATCATCTTTCATAAAATATTTATTAGATGATTAAAAGCAATTGAGAAAGATGTTTGTGTTTTTATTAAATGTGCCTTAAATCTTAGGTAGAAAAGGGACACACAGGGGGATTTTTATCATAAATAAGAATGAGACAGCTGCAGGGCCTTGGTTAGTCTAAACTTGCTACCGTTTCCAAGTAATGTTGAGGATACATGCCCTTTTCCTCTTCAAATTATGCTCTCATGGGCAAGGATGGGCTGCAACAGTCAAAATAATTAACGTAATGGTCCCTGCGTTTACGATTTAAGGCCTAGCGTAGGGTAAGTTGGTCATACACTGAACAAACATAGTGCCTTTCAGGCCTCAAAGTGACAAAATTTAGGCGTCAGTTGGCTCCTCCATTTAGCACAATGTTTTCATCACGAAAATGCGCGCTTAACCCTCTTTCAGAATTGTGAAATCCGTGTCATGTGGGTCCAGTGTTCAGGCCCTATGGCTGTGCCTTGGGAAATAGTTGCTGTTGATGGGAACAATTGACTTGCTATTGTCCGAATAGTCAGTAAATAGGTGTTTTATTATACCGAAGCAAACTTGTCACGATCAGGATAAAACCAGAAGAGTTCCGAGATGAAATGGATTGCTGCTGGTGAATAGTTCGATGACTATTTCACCAGAGTCAAATAGCACAAAAACTATTACAAGGTAGGGGATGTTTAGAAAAAAATACAGGTTTATTAGTCATATCTTTATAACGAAAACAATTATAGAAGTATAATAAAAATCACTTATTTCATTAATATATTCACTTTACACATTACATCAAAAGAACAAAGAGCCCATGGGCCTGTTTTTTTTTTATATACGTGCTGATCAAGATGTATTTTGACATGTTTCATCTCAAATAAATCCTGGATCCGTCCCTGAATTATAGTTTACATCAATTAAGAAATTTGACTGCTTATTGTGGTTACATTGGTTTGAAATTATATACCTTAAGCACCTTTACATCTGTATATATAGACTTCCCTCAATAACAACACAATCTTGCTATACTTTGTCGATTTGATATGAACCCAGTGCTAATTCCATTACCATTGTTTATGCTAAAGACCACCCACAATAAAAGCAGTATGTTAGCAATTTGTCATGAAGTTATAGAAATGTGTCTCAGGTGAGTGCTGTGGCCCAAAGGCCTTGGTAAAAAAAAAACATGCATGACATGCCATGGGTTCCTTGCCTCTACTTCGTGTGTCTGTATGGAAAATAATATTTGACCTCTAGCAATATAATTGTTTCCGTTTTATCAATATCGGGCAAATATTTTGTATTCTAAACAACTATTTTTGGATTCTAAAATATTTTGGATATTTTGGATTCTAAACAACTTCTAATTTTTTTTCCACAAAATCCGAGATTTCTAAACATAATATACTGTTTCATGATGGTGAATGGAATTACTACGTACAGTTTGTGTATCAAACTGCATTAGAAAATCTTGTGGAAACACGCCATATTGACAAACGAAATCTTCCACTCCTCTTTTGGAAGTTAACCCGCCCAGACGCATAACAGATATTAAATGCCTGTTTGTGCATTGTAATCAATCTCTGCTATGTAACGAGCATTGAATTTTTTATTCAGAGTTAAAATTTACACTATGGTATGACCAGAATTTAACGAAAGATGGGTTTATTCAAGTCATATCTAAATATAATCTGTAATAAAATGAAAATAATCGATACAGATCATACTAATTTGCATGTATTAAAAAAAAAGACCCGCAGTCAATAAATAAATAATCCGCCTTCCAACTCATTTGTTTTTGCTTAATACGTTAGGCATCAACGATTTAAATTTGTTGACTTCAAAGAGGAACAAAACATATTTACAAAATATTGCTTGAATTCCCTGTTACAGAGTGAAATGAGAGCCGGGTCTTTGAATATCTAGATATCTCTCAGAAAAATTTCCAGTCCTCTTTTGGGAGTATTGAAGGTGTTAGGTTGCGTACTCTTTAAGTTCACCAAGTTTGTTTCTACAAGAGACGGCAAAAACTTCGGAAAGATAGGTATGTAAATTGTTTGTTATAACTATTTACTTCCTTTGTGATTACATGAAGTAACCAATTTTATTATTCATTTAATAAGTAACATTTACTGAAACTTCAGGCTAAATTGATTTTAATACCGGAGTGGGGGATGAGGGGGTGGGGGTGGACTCATTTAGAAACTTTTAAATAAATGTTTTCTGAAAATTTTCCTTAATGTATCATATATATATATATATATATATATATATATATATATATATATATATATATATATATATACGACTGATGAAGGCCGGTAACTCGGTTGAAATATTTCAAAAAGTGTTTTAAAATGTTTTTTATTCTATTACTTAAAAAAACTTTGGATATATATTGCTATTAATATTGATTGAGTAGTTCCCTAAAAGATCGATCAGTACTCGGTAAAACAAAGTCCAGAAGCAAGAACCTTAAGAAGGAACAGAATAGAAAAGGTGTAACGGATCAAGGGACATCAGTTCCAACACTTCACTGTATGCATGATTACTAAGAAATAAGGACAGGAACCCAAGTAACTACAGGTATTACTACTACCAAAAGTTACTGGTATGTCTATTTTTGTCGACAATGCAGCGGGAATGCACTGTGCTTTAAATACAGCCACGCCATAATGCTTTGACCTCCAAGCACTTGCTCAACTGAAGAAAATGTAAAAATAAACTAAAAATGAAAACATAACATAGTCTTCAACCGAACTGGGCGATTTTTCAGTCACCCATAAAACAATGCATTGATTTACACATATTTGACTGATCATATCAATTTGTATTTGGTTGAGAGGCATTTGTATAAAACACAATGAAGACCTTAAATAGTCGAATGAACTGACAACCCTTGGTATAGACTAGCCAGAGGGTATATAAAGCAAAGCTTTGTGAAAGTCAGGCATTCAGAAGTTAGCTGAAGAAGCTGACGACTGAATCAGAAGCTAGCAGAAAAAGTTGGCTGAGAAAATAACGAAGTCAAGGGTAAGAGCAGAATAGAAGTGTAACAGTTATCAACACCAGTGGCAAGTTTCCTAAGGAATCGATGTTAAGTTCTGGGTGTAGTAAATCTGAAGAAGATTGAGACACCCAATTCTTCCCCATCAATAGAAATCTAGGGGAGAAACACGGTGCAAGAAGTACCTTACCCACTCCTTATCTCTAGATAAGAGAAAATTTAAGTACTATGCGATATACCCTCTGACAGAGCTGTCTTAATAATCATTCCAGTCATCAACTCAGACAGAGTAAGAGGAAAACCTATATATCCCTTGAAAGAACCCGATCATACACGTTACATTTTGCTGGCAGCCGTCAAGAGATAGAGTACAAAGCGTTTTCTTATCAATCTTTTATTGTTGTCTGATTTTCCGGGTGCTATTAATTGACATCGGGTGCCTGGAACTCGGTGCAGTTACCAAGCGCTGTAAAACCAAGTAGTGTTACCAGGTGTTGTGTACCACGTGTAGTGGTACCAGGTGCAATAATACCAGATTCTCTGTACCAGGTATAGTGTAATTGGGTGTAGGGTATAAGATTTATTGATACTGGGCAGTGTGTGCCAAGTGTAGGACACTAGGTCGTAGAAATTTATAAAGTGCTAAACAGTGAATACTTAGAATTATGCCATCCGACAACTAATTCACAACAAGCGAGTTTATGGGTCTGTAGAGACGACTAGAAAGGGTTAGGATGTGGATAAAATAAACAGGTTGGTTATAGAATATGTCTAGAATTAGGGAATGAAAGGTCGCTGATTGACCAATGCTGGAAAGTGGCGAAATACATTCCCAAAGTCCGCAGAAAATCTTGCGCCGTAAATTGCACTATATTTGCATCACGGGATCTGTAGCGTTATCATATGGTCAAAGACTATTAAGATATAAAACCATAACGCTACAGTTCTGCAGCTAATATTTTAATTGTGTACAATTATCGTGTGGTGACCTAATTTTATTGCATGTTTAACAGAGCCTTGTGTAATTATTTTCTCTTATAACAGTGTTTATTGTTTAATTAATACCCAAACAGTTTCTGGATATGTTAAAAAATCTTTAGTTATGAATCAAGTCACATGCTGGACGCATGATATCCGAGGCGTGGGTAATGTAATGGTTGAGAGGCATTTGTATAAAACGAAATTAAGATTTCGAAGTGGAATGACCTGACAACCCTCGGTATAGTCTAGCCAAAGGGTATATAAAGCAAAGCTTTGGGAAATACAGGCATTCAGAAGTTAGCTGAAGAAGTTTACGGCTGGATCAGAAGCTAGCTGAAAAATAAAGGAGTTAAGGTTAAGAGCAGAATAGAAGTGTAATAGTTATCAACACCAGTGGCAAGTATCCAAGGGTATTGATGTTAAGTTCTGGGTGTAGTTAATCTGAAGAAGATTGAGACACCCGGTTCTTCAACCTAGGGGAGAAACACGGTGCAAGTAGGACCTTACCCAGTCCCCGTCTCTAGAGAAGGAATTTTTTAGTACTTTGTGATTTACCCTCAGACAGAGCGGTCTTAGTAATCATTCCAATCATTAACTTAGACAGAGTAAAAGGAAAACCTATATATCCAACAGTGTTAACTAAGTATCGTCAACTTCAATTTATTCACCCAAACCAATATATTGGTACAATACCATATACATATTTAAACAAACTTGTCAGAGGGACATATTTAATACAAAAACAACAGAAAATGAATAGAAATAAGAAAAGAGGGATCAAGGAGGACAGACAGCATCTTAAATTTTCAGAATAAACATACATAGTTTTCTCAGTTTTTTTCTTCGTTTGGGTTTGTCTTTAGCTCCATAAATTTAATAACATTGGGCCTATGAGATTAACTATTGCCCAGGTAATCTTTTTTTACAATAGTTAACGCTTTACATTCTAGAATATAATGAAATTCATCAGAAATTTGAGCTTTATTACTAAG